CTCAAGACCATCCAAAGGACTTGTTCAAGTCTCCTTATTGCTAACTCTGATTCCTCAACTCATGGGATAAATGGTATACAAAGCCCCATATTCCTATGCCGACTTCATCCCCAACATTTACTCTAGGCAGAACCTTAGTGAACGAGGGGGTCTATTATTCCTAAGGCAACAAGTGAAAGTGTTTTCACACTCTTCACCTTTCTCTTATTGTTCAGTTGTCTGAAATTCCTTCCTTATGGATGTTCCTTTCTCAGTCATGTTCAAGTTTCGCTGATACAAGATATTAATTCACTTAAACAACAGAAACCCTATTGAAATAAATACGAGAGATTCAGCTATAGAGATTTAATAGGTTCACAACTTTTCCATTTCAAAAAGAAATTAGCTCTTGTTCAAAGACATGACTGAAAATACAAACATAATATTAACAACTTGAGATCTTATAGACTCGAGATTCAAGCTGATGAAGATGAAATGGTAGAAAAGCAGTTTACAGACTCAAAAACTTAACAACACGGTAACTAAATACAGTGATAAAATAGAAAATGGAGAAGATGGTATCTCAAGGTAAGAATAGAAAAAAGAAGAGCGTTGCTCCTAGGTTACACCAACATGCCAAAGTTTTTTGTGCCTTTGTCTGATTTTCTATTTATAGGTTGGGAAAGACAGTGACAATATTGTGACTATTGCAAGTCATTACCTGCACCATTAGATCGAGGATGCCTCTTCCTTTCTTCAATCAGACAATGGACTTTAAATTTAAGGGGATAAGATTGGAGATGAGCTGTCTTCTTTGCTTTTGATTTTGCTTTTGCTTTTTAAATGACGATTCTTTGACACTTGAATGTGTCCTACATCTTTGTTCGTGCTACTATATGTCGCGTTGTCCTTTCCTGCTTTTGTTGTGCGCGTCTGTCCTTTTTGGTGTGCGCCTTACAATCGTACTCTGCAGAAAAGTAAACAGTAGATGTGAGTGAAATCAAAAAGCAAAAGTAAGGACAACTCATCGCTCTTTTGTCTATTTCTTTTCTCACTTTTCGACGTTGGCAATCATTCCTCAACGCAGACTTACCTTTATTGCATTTATACTAATATTTATAGCTAAACCTATTAAAAAGCGAGTGGAACAACTTTCATTTGGAACAGTAAACGAAGCATATGAGAACAAAATTTTGCCCCATCAATGGTCTCTAGGCAAAGCTAGGTTTTGGAGTTCACAAATGCTTAAAAATGGCTTCTATCAATTTTGTGGAGAAGAGAGCCGAAAATGATATGTTGAAATGGCTTAAACACACATCTTAATTCACTAATCAATAATGTTTTATGCTTTATTCACCTTTGATTTTCTTCTCAATAATGTCTTCTAAGTCCTTTCTTCTTTGAATTTATTTCTATAGCCATGACTTAGCATTAACAAGTGTAATTAACTTCTAATTCTCATAAATTAGATTATCACTAATTTATATCAAAGTTCTCAGTAATTTTATATAATAATATTTTTACTGCAAAATTTACTGTAATTACATTTTTGGGAGAGGTTATAGTTACTACTTTTTTTTTTACTACTTGTTACTACCTAATCTTAACCGTTGATTTCTGTCAATCTAACGGCTATAATTTATTAGAATTAATAATTAATTAATAAATGTGACCCAATAAATTATAACCGTTAGATTGACGGAAATCAACTGTTAAGATTAGATAGTAACAAGTAGTAAGATAAAAAGGTAGTAACTATAACATTTCCCTACATTTTTTACTGAAAAGTAAATTATTCTTCTAATTTTTTTCTTTTCTCATTTCTTTCTATTAATTATGGTTAATTCCCATTTTCTCGTTACACATATATGGGTTATTATACTAACTATCAAAGCCTACACCAATAGCCCCTAATATGCTATGAATGTCGTCCTGGTCCCCCAAAATTTTCTTCCTCCCCAATGGGCTTCTTAATCTTATAATGGCATGTTTCTCTAAGATTTGGCTCTTCAAATGATGTTCTAGTTGAATGAAACAATTTTTCTTTTGAAAAAATTGTCACAGACTGAGTTATTTTTTGTATTTTGCGTAGGAAATAGGTTAGTATGCCTATATTTTTTCATGCTTAGTTAACCTACTCTTCTTCGACGGCAAAAAAATTTATTTATTGCATTTTAATTAAATAATTACGCATTTATGACAGTTTGGGGAATAAATACAAATGTACTGCACATTGTGCACCCTATATAATTCCTCACCCCTCTATTCACTCTTCACACCTCTTCTCTCACTCTTCATATCTTTTCTCTTTAATTTAATATTTGAATTTTATTTCTTATTCTATTTTAGAATGAGTTCCCGTCCTGATTCTGTTCGTGTTGTGTTATATTACAATGGTAGGAAGGTAGAAGGTCGACGAGGTGTCATGTTTGAAGGTGAAAAAAGGCCAACACATATCCAACGCCACGCAACCATTGGCGAACTACATCAGATAATTCGGCAGAAGTTAAGTCTTCAAGGCAACCAATGTATCACTCAGATCACGACAAGGTTATGGCAATGTGATAAATACATTAGTTTCCCACGCCTGGTCTTTATTTTCCTGACATGCTCCGTATTCCACACTCGCTGTGAAATATGAGCACGCTGCGTCCTCTTACGAAGGACGTCCCATCTGTACGGCCCAGGTATGATGTACATGCTGGGATCGGTAGGCTCTACATCCGATGAAGATGATGAATCAGCCATTACCCTCAACTATATCATATAAAACAACATTTAAATTAATCACATGTAATGCCCCATTTTATTTACAAATTAATTAAGCAATGTCATAATTTATTATCAAAAAATTTAAGCATATGCGTCATTTATTTTACTAGAATTGAAATTAATGAAATAATGTTAATATGTAGTACAATCATTTATTTGTAATTAAATAATAAAAAAACATTGGACAAAAACAATGTAATACTTACAGAATACTTAACCCTAGGTCACTAATAACTTCATAAATATATACTAATCATCACACCTAACTGACTACAAAATTATGAATAAACTCCCGCATTAATAACATCATACATACAAAATTTATGATCTCGCTATCACTATTTTCTAAATCACTAATTAATACGCTAAACCCTAATGCATAATTAAATATTAATAATAATAACTACGTAACAAAAAAAGGGGAGTATCATTACAACATTCACAGCATGGCACAAAATTTTTAAGTGACTATCCTAATGTTCTAAGTCTCTAATATACGATCAATCCTAACATGTATTACTAACTAGCACTGTAATTTAAACGTATACATAGGAGGTATTACGATCTTACCTAAGTCGGCAGAGCTTCGCTACGAACCGTGGTTAGAGAGAGGTGAATGAGTGAGAAGTGAAATGGGAAAAATGGGGTATTTATAGCATTGCACATGAGACACCCCTTTTGGGCGTCACATGTGACGCCCCATTGGGGCGTCTTCTCCTCCATGAGAGACGCCTCACTGGGGCGTCACAGTGTGCAATAGATCTGTAAATTCTCCCCAAACTATCATAGTAGCGTAATTATTTAATTAAATTGCAATAAATAAACTTTTTTGCCCTTCTTCAACTCTATTAGATCAAAATAATCTCAAGAGGAGAGATAAATGATGAATGATGAAGGCTAATTGAGATTCTAATCCAATGATGTTGAAGAAAATCAGTAAAATAAATATAGAAACATTCCTTTATGAATAGGTTTTAAATGAACATGACCCAAAAAATCAATTCAGTTTTATACTTTTTCTTGAACTCAACTCAAGGAAAATGAAAGTTCAGCTCACTAATTTTGTTTTTATATTAATTCATTTAACATAAAATTAAGTAATAATTTATCTACAATTAATAAATAATTTATGTACATTCTTATACCTAGTCAAATATATAAACAATTATTAATTAAATTAGACATTCAGTAATGAACAAAACACTTATTCACCAAGCAACACAAAGTTTGCATTTTCCTATTATTTAATGGGGTTTCAATTAAACGTGAAGCAACACCAGCATAAGAAAAGGAGGCATTTATCCACTAAGGTTAGCCTAGTGGTGTAGGTGTGTGAGTGTGTAGTTGTGTGCTTTATTCCTTGTAACTAAAAAAAAGAAAAGGAGACATTGAAAGTAGAAGCAAACACGACGCTTTAAGTTTAATGGAACGAATGATTGCATTGGAATTCCAAAAGTGGAGGCTATTCCTTCCCTGACCAACAAGCGAGGCTATACATTAAATAATAATAATAAGTTCCCATAATAATCATATATTATAACATTTTATAAAAGTTATGTTACAAGAAAAGTGATTATGTAATATTATATAGGTTCGTTTTGTGTGCTTTATTTTTTTTTTGTTACTTTAAAAAGTGCGGGTTCCACAAAATATTATGTGTGTAGAAAAATTTTTCTTGTCATATTAAAGGATAAACTAAAACCCCTATATTATATTGTATTTTCCATTAATTTTATTACTTAATTATAATCAATCATATTTTATTTTGGAATAGAGTATTATAACATCCAATTAGGGTTACTACCCATCAATTTCACCGTTAGATCAATTATATTGATTCAACTATTATATTTATTTTTATCTTTCTATGGTTATGATTCCTCATATTTAATTTGAAAGCATTAAATAAGGAAAATCATAATCATATAAAGATGAAAATAAATATAAATATTAAATATGAGAAAAAAATATATTCGTTAAATCAACATAATCAATCTAACAATAAGATCAATTAATAATAACATTAATTAATTATTAGAATATCTAAACTATTTTTTTTTTCAACACTTTTATACACGAGAGCGGGCAAATAAATACTCAGAGTGATAAACTAAGAAGCACTTACCTTTTCCTCGTTTTCTTCACCCAAAAACGAAACCAACCAAAACCTCACGATTCTCGAGAAAATAAGTTGCCTCCAATTCCAATAAAAAATAAAAAATAAAACAAAAGAGAGAAACATTAACAACACATGATGGGTGCTCCGTAGTCCTTACTCCACAGTTAAAAAAAACATCATTTTTTATGTCACCATTCGTTTCTTTTAATCTCTGAGACTCTCTCTCAGAGTTAAAATGGACCATTCGTTTCGCCGGCGACGGCGAACATGGTGTTGTTCATTCGCCGTTCCACCTTCCAGCCCCGACAACCCTTCTTCCAAACCGCGTCACCGCAAGTCTGAAGCACTTTCCAAGCCTAGCTTTTCAGTCCCAAGCTCGCCCCAGAGCTTCAAATCCGGGTCCCGGATAGTGGGTCGGATCGACCCTCGTCGGATCTTGTCCCCAGGTAGAGTATCCCCCATCGATTCCGATCCCGTCGATCCCTCTCCAGCCATAGATTCTGCACCCCAGTTGCGATCTCATAGCTTCAGGGCACCCTTTGCCGCCGACAGTGGCCCCACCCCGCCGCCGGAGAGCTCCGGCGGGTTTGACGTGAGGATGAATTTGAAGGGGAAGAATGGTGAGTGCATAGTTCTGGAGCTGAACTCGGTGGTTCTTTGCGCGAACTCGGAGGTTTTTGCAGGGTTGATAGCGGATTACAAAAAGGGTGTGTCTTCGTCGAGCGGTAGTACCAAAATGTGCAGAATAGAGGTGACTGATGTGGAAAACTTGGGAGTTTTCAGAGAAACCATTGAGCTTATGTTTGAGGATGATTTTACCAAAAAACTCCTCAACATTGGTGTTTATCGATCCATCGACGTTTTGGAGGTTCTTAGTTACTTCTTTTTTTTTTTTTGGTAAATAAGGTTCTTAGTTACTTTATTTGATTGTTTTATTTTCCCTTTTTTTTTTAAAAAAGATCTTAAATTGTGTTCTAATAAAATTCTAGGTGTGCGTCCTTTTGCCTCTAATTGACATCTTTTGATTGTTTCATTGGTTTTTCTTATTTTATTTTTTATGGTTTTTAAGCTTCTCTTTTAAGCTTTTTATAATGCACTTTAATAAGAATGATCTAGGGACAAGCTGTGTTGTGAAGATTATGGAACATATAAGCAATATATGTTCCATATGAGATGTAATGGTAGAAAAAACTGTTTCGTTTGGATTAGTTCAAAGAGTGGCATGAATTAAAAGAAAATATTCTATACATCTAGCGACATGGAGCAACTTTTATTGGGACATTTTGATATTTTTTTGTTGAAGCAATTTTTTTTTTGTGTTGAGCATGTACATTGGCGCCTCTTTAGTCTCTTACATTGTTATCTCTTTGTATTACTAGGTGTCCGCAGGCATCATGTTCACTAAGGGTGTTTTGGCCTGTTTACAATACCTTGAGGCTGTTCCTTGGACTGAAGAAGAAGAAGAAAAATTGAGGAGCCTATTCACAAAATTTAAGTTTGATGATGCAACAACAAGAGACATTTTAGGAAGGCTTTACCTACACGATTCAGAAGATTCTCAGCCAAATGTAGCGCGACAACTTGTTTGGTCTATCACCACTTGTGTTGATGCCAATGCAAGAAATGAACTGAAGTCACTAGTCAAGGGTCTTCTTTGCAAAAGCTCAGTCTATGAGAAGAACCATCTTGACCTCAACAAGGAGGATCTATATTCTGTTTGCCACTCATGTCTGGGTTCTCTGATTACCCTCTTTGAGGAGGCATCAAACACCATCCCTCCTGAAAGGTCGAGGAAGAATGATATGAATAAGTCGATGATTGAGCGCGTCTCAAGACAGGTTGATAACATCAACTGGTTGCTGGAAATCATGCTTGATGGGCAAATGGCTGACGAGTTTGTGGATATATGGGGTGATCAACACCAACTTGTTAAAATGCATGATAATGCATCCCCCATGATTAGATATGAACTCAGTAGAGTTTCTGCAGTTCTGTTTGTTGCCATGGCTACCAGAAAACTACAATGCCCTTTGGAAGCTAGATCAGGGATTGTGCAAACATGGTTCAGACCAATGTTGTTGGACTTTGGTTGGTTGCAGAGATGTAGAAAAGGGCTTGATATAAAGCTCTTGCAAGAGGCTATGGGTCAGACACTTCTTACTCTACCTCTAAAGCAACAACACATGCTATTCATGGAATGGTTTCAGTACTTCTCAAAGCATGGCACTGAATGTCCGAATCTAAGCAAGGCATTCCAAATTTGGTGGCGTAGATCATTTTTAAGAGGCTCTGAAACTCAAGCAATTGAATCAAGGTGAAGAGTGCCACTATTTGTCATTTTTACTGTTTGTGTACTCTGTAAAGAGTTGCAATTAGGTGAGAGGTTCTGAACTGTATACTGAATAACGTAGATAAACTTCATAGATGGTTGTATTAACAGCTTCATGCCTAAATGATATAATTTTTTTCTAGATTATTTTTCAGGAAAATATTTCTGCAATTATTGCAGTTATCTGCATTTACTTCCAAAACGAAATTGTTTTGGAATTGAAATATTAAAAAATTATAATTATAAAGATTATAATAGTCTTGAAATAAATTAAAATTACAAAAATACCATGATTTTCGCTTCAAAACGACATCGTATTGGACTTACTGTAAATAACTTACGTAACTGTAAAAAAGCGAACTCGTTATTTTTTCCTCTCTATTTATTTTCTTGTTTAATAAGTTGCATTAATAGCTCCAGACTCCTTTTATATTTTATAGGAATGTCATCCAATATTTTATTGCTCCAAATTCATTCATTTCAACGAAGCTACTCCTTTTCAGAGTATCACAACCTTTCTGATAATGATATTTCACCAAGAAATATACGAAATTTTTGTATTTAGCCCCGAAGATTGAGTTGGTTGAGTCCAGTATTTGTCACAGACATATAAAATAGATTAAGTACATGTTTGTTACTTTTTCTCTAAAAAAATTTAATGGGAACGTGGGAGAGCAAATCACTACACAGTTGAAATAACTGCTTTCTAAAATATGCTTATAATAATCCTACTTTACGATAAAATAATTGTAGTTATTTTCATATAAAACAAAAAATGTTTAATAAAATGATAATTTTGAAGGGAAAAAAAAAACACCTATCAATAAAAAATGCTTTTGAAATGGAAAAGTTTTTGTAATGTACAGTCCATCCTTCAATCTTTTTCTTACATTTTAAGAGAGGAGAGGCTTCAATCTTTGAATTAAAATTTTTGTAATGTCCTTACAACATTGCACATATTAATTGGCAAGATTAACTAGGTTTATTTTTTTAAAAAAAAGTACTTGTTACTTGAAAAATAAAATTCATGAAGCCTGTGCTACCTCTTAATTTATCTGTAGCCCCTCTCAAGTTATCTGGCTTTACCTATATAATGTACCATATATTTGTCAGTTTATTTAATCATTATGATAAATAGATAATTTTAAGTATAATTCTGAGTTCAAAACCATTCTCATTCACTTTTATGTAAAAAACGAAAAAATTATTATTTAACCACTTCATGAAAAAGATACAGGAGGGCATAAGTTCAAATTATCTTGTCACCGTTATATTAGAAAAATCACTAAGAATGTAACTTGGTCCATGAGGATTCTGCTTTTACAAAAACGTCCCTAATGAATAAGTATCTTTAAGAAAGATCTCTCGTAAATCTCTACATGTTCAAGCAAGGTATTTTTTTTTTTATGATTGTCGTATTTTATATTTTAAGCTATTCGAAAGACTGATATTAACAGATTTCGTCAAACAAACAATGTGTTCCGTCTTCTTCCATTTCTGTTTTCTCCGTCTTTGTTAATAGCACAAACTCTTATATGGACAAAGCTACTCTCTTTTCAGGATATCTCAAAACCTTTTGGACAATGACATTTGACCAAGAAATATAGCCCCGAAGATTTAGTCAGTTGAGTTCAGTATTTGTAGCTAAGATACAAGCTAGACTCAGTGCATGTTTGGAAATTTCTTTTTTGAAAAATAATCATTTAAAAAAAATTAATCTAAATAAATTAATCCTAACACAAAATGTTTGGAAATTTCTGATTGAAAAATAATCATTTTTAAAAAACAAATTAATCCAAACACAAAAAAAAAAAAAAAAAAAACTACTGACACTAGTCCCGACTAACAAGGCTGATATGATTTACGGACAAAAATAAAAACAAAGCAAATTATATGACATTACTACATACGAATATTAATCTTCAACGTGAAAAATGCAATGAACGTAGATGATAAAAGTTAGAAAACTTACGCCATAACCGGATTTTAATCAAACATGACAATACTTTGTAACACCCGAATTGATAGGATTGGGCTCAAAATATTCTTATCAGTTCTATCAAGTTAACTTATTTTAGAAAATAATGTTCAAATAGACAATTCATGCCACGGTGAAGTTTTTAAATTGAAAATGGAAGAGAATCTATAACTTGTAATCCGCATTAGGTACTTGCGTCCATATTTCTATCAATTTCGTGTCTATAATTCCTCAAATTTCTAAGCTTTCTTATCTTGGCTCCGACTTCCATTTTGTTGAGTCTTCCATAACAATGGCGCCACTAAGTCAGTCAATTCCAAGAAGTTTGGGGGGTCGAAAGGCCCCAAGTCATCTTCGTTTGTAGGACATTCATCTTTCTGGCCACAGAAAAAACCACCTTCTTCATCACATCCAAGCAAGCAGTCAAGGTCTCCTAAATCATCAAAAAAGCCACTTTGATCTAAATAAGGTGCGGCTTCAGCATTGTTTGCCTGACCAGAATTATTAATCACCTATTATTCCACAATCACTAAATTAGCATAAAAATAAGAGAGTACGAGATGGAGGATAAAGCTAGCAAAATAGCATATAATAGATTTTTTATTCTTACAATAATTATCAGGTTAAAATCTGAAGAAAAAGCCTCTAAAAATTTATAAATCGATCAAAGAGAAATACCATCTGCATTATATACTCCTACATCTTGATTAGTAGCTTCAATTGCCCAACAATTGAGCCTTCCAGTTTTTAAAGTTTAGTCAACATACTCTTATAGTCTTATGCCTCACAGAAAGCTACAAGAATTAGCAAAATAAAAAGGGCAAACTACTAGACCAAGATCAAATCAAAACTAAAGCTGCGCCCTCCCTGAACAAAAAACGGGGGGAGATTGCAAAATTATGTCTAATTCTCAGTTAGTTCTTTGAAAGACTAAGCATGCAGAATTTTTGAGATGGAAGGGGGTGTAATACAGCAGATCCTCAAATGACACTAAGTCAAAAGAGAAGGAAGCCAGAGCACGATGTTTTATACAACATATGCAGTAATTTCAAGACATCCACTAAGAACAATGTTAGCAAAAATGTTTAGTTTTCACAACCATAATGAAATTTAAGTTATGAAGAGTCAAATGCAAAATGAAAGAGATACAAAAAACTAACTACTGACAGAGAAAGTAAGAGGCTGCCAAAATTGGGGAACATCTAACACAAGTCATAAAAAGAAAAACAATCATGCCAAGATTTCCCAAAAAAGTGCAATAGTACAGATAAAAAGGAATAGATTGCAAACCTCAATTCCGTTGTTTTCATTCACAGGCAATGTGTAATCATCTTCTTTGAAATAATCAAGCATACGTAAAATGTCATCATCAACTTGATTACTTGGAGCTGAAGGATGTGTCAAGTAAGAGGAAAGTCCTGATGGACTTGATACAGAGGTCAATCCAATGCATCCAGTTGTAGAGGAATGCATGTGTTTTTCAACAGAAATATGACTTGTGCTAGGTTGAATGGGAACTTGTGCAGACATAGCAGGAACAGAGACAGATATTTCCTCTTTATCCCAGTCTTCCTCATTAAATGGTTTTCCATATTGTGCACCATTCCTGGGACCAGGACCTTCCTTTTGGAATACCTTACAAATCACATACGAGTCCTGCAATACAAATATACCAGCAGAACAATTAAAATAAGATTCACGAGACTAACAACCAGAAAAATACAAGGAGACAAAAAGTCAACAAACCAAATTAAGATTGTACAAAGGGTTGCTAAATAAGTCAAATACAAAGCAATAAGATAACAAATAAAGGTTTCCATTCTAAGTCATAAAGCTTAAGCATATGCAAAGTATCTACTGCTCTAAATCAGTTTATGGGGTAAGGTTTAACATGAAAAGACATAATTCTAATTTGATGCCATATACAACAAAAGCTGTAATCTTTGTGCGTTGAATCATGTTAATCAGCAAAGACTATCTTTTCCAGCGTAATAGATGGCAATAGTCATAGCAACAATACTGGACATCCTTACATGCACTCACAATGTAACACCCTAGTATTTTTATTTTCCTTAATTCCTTAATAATACTCTTAATAATTAAATATGGATTATGTGACTTCAAAATATATTTTGAAGATTAAATGTACATTGCATTGTGATATTTTCATCGGGCAAAGATCATCATTACAAGTTAACAATAGGTATTACCGTTCTAAGATCCAAGATCATTCTAGAATCGGTCAATAAGATTCCAGAATCAACAAATTCACTTCCCAAGTGGATTCCTTCATGAATACTAAGATTAAGATTTCAAATATATAGGACATAAAATAGATGATTTCTGATTACTTTTGCATCGATCAATCTCCTATGTAGTTAATTCAATCTTCTTTCTTACCATAGGTAACTAATAAGAATAATAAAATATTTTCTCAGTAATATATTGGTTTCAGATTCCACCATAAACATGATATGCAATCCGAAGACTATATAATGAATATTAATACATTTTGTGAAGAAAATGATATTTGTCTACATATAAACATAAGTAAAGATTCAGATTATAAGAAATCAAATGCTTTATATTCTACAAAGCATCATAGAAGACAATTAAAAATTAGGAAACTTATCCACAAAGAGACTATTATTTTATTTCTTCCATTGAAGGATTATATCCAAGACTGAGAAACATGCCCCAACAGCTTCAACAAATCCCAGGACTAATTTCTCGGGAAAGGTCATCTATTTACTAACTCACAGAGTAACACTACGGAATAAGAACTAAGGCTTGCAAATAACTGTTTTGATAACAGAAAACAGAGGCCAGACTATGAATTTTATCAACATTTCTTTGGGGTGATTTTCTAATGCCTTCTTGCAAACCTTTAAAATTAGTTACTAACTGGGCATCTGATCTATCAACTCTTCTATCAAAGTTTCAGATGAGATTCAATGGTCTGCCATGAAGGTTTAAATAAAGATGATAAAGTAACAATAATTGTGTGGTTGATTGATATACTCATGAGGTAGTAGCAAATAGCCTATTGAGAATCATAACACAGATTTCCTGATGAATTATTGAGCAGACAAGAGTGTGTGGTATAGCACGTACGTGCTATGGTAATGACAACTTGTATTAACCTATTGCTGTCCCTTATAAAATATTCTCATTTTGCAGCTGTTTATTTCTTTTGGCTTAACAATTCACGTTCATTACATTCTGCCAAGCAGTATTTATAATTTGACAGCAATCTTATTTCAAGCAAAGCATTTGGTCTAAGACAAGTAATCTTATTTTTATTTACCCAAAAACCACCCTAACTGCTCTTGCATAAACATGATATTATTATGGAATATGGTTAACTGGCAATATGTGAGCATAAAAAAATTGATATTAAATCTGATATATAATTCAGATTGATAACATGAGCTTCTCTAAATTGTATCTCTACAATTCCCAAGTGTCTCAGATAACAGGTTTCTCCATTGACATAGATTAAATAATAAATTTGTTATTTGGATTCTAATTTTTTTATATTAAAGTTTGTTTGAATTGAAAATGTGTAAGAGCTCATAACAAATTGAAGCATTAAAACCCAAACCACTATAAAGATTGTGAAAACAAGTTTCAATGAATGCCCCACACTGATACTGATTAAGTGAACAACTTGTTATAAAACAAATTGCACAACCAACCAACGGATGCATGCATTTCCTCGGTCAAAGTTATTTACCTGCTGTGGAATGCCTTTGTCAGTCAGGTCCTTGTCTTCAAGTCTGAATTCATGCATAACCCAATCAGTTCGGTCTCCCTTAGGTGGTCGGCCCCTATGAAACACCAGGGTTTTTATCATGGCCACAACTTGATTCTCGTGTTCGATTGATCTATCCTTCCCAGTAGTCTTCCAGTACCCATCTTCAGTTGCCCGATTCATCCTCCCTCCAGTGGAATATTTCCTTCCTCGAGGGCAAAAGAAGTACCATTCTAAATCACCATTCCTCAGCAAAGACTTATCTGAAAGAAAAAAAAAACAATAAATGAAACCCTCTTAAGGGTAAAATAAAAAAAGTTTGAGAAACACAGTATATTACACTATCAACAAACCTGGAAGATCCCACGGAGCATACTTGTATATGTCAAGTTCAGCAATAACATCGACAGGGAATTTTTTCCCCAATATCTTTCTCTTCAGAAAGTACATAACCAGCTCAACATCAGTGGGATGAAACCGAAACCCTGGAATGAAATTGATTTGGGCCATCTAAAATCAAAATCCCAAATAGTTTAACTCCACCCCACTACCCAAATCCAACGCCTCCTCCTCACTAGCAGTGAATAGAAGAAAACAAGCACGTCCGCAACAAGAAGAATTATCTTCCGAAATCCCGAAAAAACAAAAAAAAAAAAACAGAAAGAAACGATAACTATAGAGAGTAGTTAAGCAATTAGCCCTAATCCGAAGCGTCAAGTCCAGTGACGGAAGAAGATATTCCAAGAAAACCAAAGCCTGCCCCGGTTCATTAAAGGAAAATCGCATACAATGGATGATGATCCCTTTCTGAGAAGAAAAGTCATCGGCGCAGTGGAACCCTAACATTGCAAATTCAAATCATTTCAGACAAAAAAAAAAAACACACAAAACAAAAAAGTTGATTGCTTATACCATTGGATCTGCGATTGAGAGAGAGTATTGAGGAAGGTAGCTTAAGCTTACCAGGGAAGGGGAAGAGGAAACACAGGGCTCAACGCTTCGATCTGAGTCGTTGACTTTTGAAATATGGGAGTGTGGAAAACAGGGTTTAGGGTTTTATTTATACTGTGTTTTTTTTTTAAAATAAAATAAAATAATCTTGGGTGAGGGGTTTTGGGACGCAGCAAATCGGATTACCGCACAGTTGAAATCACTGCTTTCTGAAGGGACTTTTTTATCAGTGGTGCGTGAGTCTACGCGCGCGATATTCTTTCTTTGCTAGGGTTCTGAAATGATGTCATCGCTAATTGTTCACGGTGGTCCTCCACCGATTTCTGCTGGAAGTCAAGGGTTCTCTCCGAATTCTCCTTTCAACTTGTGTAAGAGTGTCAAACGTTCCAAGAATGGTGAGGAGTTCTCACCCGATGATACAAATAGAGGAGCTGGGTTGAGGTTTCTCTCCAACAATCCAGTAGCTGGTACTCATCGAACCTTTGCTGATGCGCTCAGGAAGGACGAATGTCCTGCAGGGGAGGAAGCTTGTGGGATGGAAGATTTCATAGAAGATATGGGTAATCCTCTTGATCCTCTGAAAGGGGAGATTTCCGATTGGGCGTTTTAAACCATCTTTGAAGAAGATGGATCTGTTCGTATCAGGTGCTCTGGGGAAGCGAAACAGAGGATGAGAAGCCCATGGCGTAATGCTCTAATTGTGAAACTCCTCGGCAAGAAGGTGGGAGTTATGTATATGAAGATCAAACTGGAGAGTTTGTGGGCAAAGTCAGGATCGATTGTAGTTGCGGATTTGGGTAATGATTTCTTTTCAGTCAAATTTGCTAATCTGGAAGACCTCAGTATAGCTCTCACGGGTGGCCCATGGGTGCTGATGGGACATTATCTTGCAATTCGGAAGTGGGAACCAGGATTCAACCCCCACAAGGCTAATATCCATAGAGTAGCAGCGTGGATCCGTCTCCCTGGCATTCCACAGGAGTTCTGTGAGTATCCCTTTCTGAATCATCTAGGTAATATCATAGGCAAAGTCATTAAAGTAGACAAAAATACTTCTACTGGTGAAAGAGGCAAGTTCGCCAGAGTGTGTGTTGATCTTGATCTTTCCAAACCGTTGAGAGGTGAATATTTTTTGGAGGATGATACCTTCAAAGTTGAATATGAAGGGCTTTATCTAATATGCTTGAAGTGTGGTAGATATGGCCACAATGTGGATAACTATCCAGAGTGTGTTAAGCCGGCTAATGTTAACATTGTACCAGACAACAGGAAGGAGGTGTCTGAGAATCCTTTGATGAATCAGGGAGTTGGTCCCTGGATGGTAGTTCAGAGGAGAAAACAGAAGAATCAGTTTGCCTCTTCCAAAGGAAGCTCGGGTCCTAGGAAAGGGAGAGGCAGTGAGCAGGTGAGAGAATTGAACCAGAAACCTGCATTGGTGGTGGGGAATCAAAAACCCAAGGAGAATAAAAGCTATTCCTCGCAGCAATCCTCTCTGGCAGGGCGGGTTTACAAGCCTGTTAATGTCCACACCAAGAAAAAAGGGAGTAGTGCTAAAGGAAATGAATCAAAGCAGAAGGAGGAGACCATTGCTGCTTTTGTTTTCAATTCGGAAGCCTCCTGTTCTGGTTCCAAAGGTACTGCAAAGGTGGAAACTCCCATGGCTAAGGGGAGGTTAAGGGTAGTTAAAGGCAAATCTCCCAAAGTTACTCCAGTCACGGCTTGTGGCTCTGAGTTTGAATCTTCTGCTATTGTTAAAGAGTGCATCTCTACTTCTACTTTGGGGCAGCCTAGTGAAGATTCCTCCAAGTCCCTCATCAAGTCTGACCAGGAGAATTCTTCGGTGCTTGTCTCTGGAGAGTTTTTAGATGAGGCTGTACCTCTGGATTTAATCATGAGGAGTGTATCCCCTAGTGTTGAGGCAATGGCAGGAATGGCATTGAGGGAAGGAGAAGATCCTCTTAGCTTTGACCTCATGATGGAGATTACCCAGGAACTCAGTAATCCTGGTGACAACATGGTTTCTCAATGAATTGCCTTGTTTGGAATTGTAGGGGGGCTGCGAAGAAACAATTTAAAATAACCCTCTGCAATTTTATTAGGAAGTATAAGGTTGGTTTGGTTGCCATTTTGGAATCAAGAATTAGTGGTGTTTTGGCTGAAAAAAAATAAAACAGATTGGCTTTAAGAATGCTGTGATAGAGGAAGCTGTTGGGTTTTCAGGTGGAATTTGGTTATTATGGAAGGAGGATTTCTGTACTATTTCTCTGATAGAGAAATCTAATCAATTTATTCATGTAAATTGCTGCCCTAGTTTTGGGCCTTCCTTTTTTATGACTGTTGTTTATGTTTGTCCCAAAGAGGAATCTAGAGAAGCTTTGTGGTTAGACCTGATTAGAATTGGAGGTTCGGTTTTGGGTCCCTGGATGTTGATGGGGGATTTTAATGAAATTGCAGCTTCTAAGGAGAAAAGAAGTGGAGCCCCTTTCAATCTGGCTAGAAGTTTGAAGTTCACAACTGTTTAAACGACTGCAATGTGTTTGATATTGGTTGTAGAGGGTCAAGATTTACTTGGAGAGGTCCTAAATGGCTTCATTTAAACAGAGATTTTAAGAGACTGGATAGGGTGTGTGCTAATGCAGTTTAGAGGACTAGTTTTGCTGATGCTTATGTCAGAACTCTGCCTAGACTCAATTCTGACCATAACCCTTTGTTATTGTCTCTTTTCCCTGTTATGGGCAATTGCAAAAGTAGGCCTTTTCACTTCCTTGCTGCTTGGCAGGATCATTCTTCTTTTCCTTACTTTCTTCAAGATGTTTGGTGTCCGAATTTGAACATTGAACACAACCTAGCTAACTTGGTGGACCAGCTGAAATCCTGGAATAGAAGGGTTTTTGGCTGCATCCAGATTAGGAAAGATTTCCTGCTGCAGAAGCTTCATGATACTCAGCTGAACAGTCTTCACATTGCAGATGATGCTACTACTGGATTGGAGGCATCCATTCAAAATGAGCTGAACCAGTTCCTTGAGCAAGAAGAATCCTTATGGTTCCAGAAGGCTAGATGCAAATGGATCAAGGATGGTGATCGTAATACTTCTTATTATCACACAACCACAATCATCAGGAGAGCTAAAAACAAAATTCTGGAGTTGAAAAATGATGAGGGGCACTCTGTGAGAGAAGAAGCTAGTCTTCTCAGAATCACTGTATCTTTTTTTGAGAAGCTGTACTTGGAAGAGCATTCTGTCAGACTTTGGTTTTCCACTAAGAACAGTTGGCCAGTTCTGGATAGCTGTGTTTTTGAAGGTATGAAGAGATGCATTTCGGATGAAAAGATCAGAAAAATTTTCTTTTCTATGGGAGCTCTAAAAGCACCTGGACCTGATGGCTTTCCAGCCCTGTTCTTCCAAAGTAACTGGCATGTTGTGGGTAAGCAAGTCTGTGAGTGTGTGAGAGCCTGCTGGGATGATCCTGGAAGCATTAAGAAGATCAATAAAACTTTTCTGGTGTCGATTCCAAAAATCAGCAAACCGGATAGAATTTCTCAATTTAGACCCATTGCTTTGTGCTCAGTTGTTTACAAAGGTATCAGTAAGTTAATTGTGAATTTCCTGAAACCTCTCCTCCTAAAGATTATTTCTCCCTTTCAAGTCAGTTTTGTCCCCAAAAGGCAAATACAAGACAATATAGTTATTGCTCAGGAGATGGTACATTCTATGAGCAGGATGAGAGGAAAAAAGGGCTTTTTTGCTATAAAAATTGATCTAGAAAAGGCTTACGACAGGATTTCTTGGAGCTTCATTCAAAAAGTCCTGGTTGAAATTAACCTGCCTGAATCTATCATCAATTTAATCATGAGCTGCATTACTTCTACTGAGTTGGAAATTCTATGGAATGGGGCCAAGGCAGGGTCTTTTTCCCCTAGTAGAGGAATAAGGCAAGGGGATCCTATATCCCCTTACATTTTTGTCCTGTGTATGGAGAAGTTGTCTCATATGATAGCTGATGCAGTGGAGAGGAAAGAGTGGAAGCCTATGACAGCAGGGAAAAAGGGCCCTATTATTTCACATCTTCTCTTTGCTGATGACCTGTTGTTGTTTGCAGAAGCATCTACTACCCAGATTGGTACGGTTATGGATTGCCTAAACTCATTTGGTGAGGAATCTGGTCAAAAGGTTAGCCTTTCAAAAACCAATATATTTTTTTCCAAGAATGTTCCTGTTGAGCTAGCTAATGCTATAGTGGAGGAAAGTGGCTTTGCTAGAACGAACAATATTGGTAGATATCTTGGCTACATGATGAGGCATGAAAGAGTTAGCAAGACTCACTATAGTGATATCATGGTTAGAGTCCAAAGTAGACTTAGTGGTTGGAAGAAACAATGTCTTTCTATGGCTGGAAGAGTTATATTGGCTAAATCTGTTCTATCTGCCATTCCTATGTTCAGCATGCAGAATAGCCTACTTCCGGTAACTCTTTGTAGTGACATTGAAAAAGTTCAAAGAAGCTTCATTTGGGGAGATACAGTCAATCATAGAAGACAACATCTGATTGCTTGGGAGCAGCTGCATCTGCCAAAGGAGCTAGGGGGTTTGGGGATCATCAATTTAAGGAAACAGAATGGAGCCTTCTTTCATAAAAGTATTTGGGCTATGATCAATGATCCCACGCAACTCTGGGCTCGTGTTATCCTAGCAAAATATGGCAGAAAATGTGATATTACTAAGGAGGTTTGTGCTAAGTCATATGATTCTCATTTTTGGAGAGGACTTTGCAAAGTCTGGCCTGATGCCCTGGAGAATTTGGTTTGGCAGATTGGTAATGGCCAGAAAATTTGTTTTTGGCTTGACAAGTGGACTGGGCTGGAACATAATCTCTTATTTGATGCCAATAGAGCTCCTGACCTGTCTGAGTTAGAGCTCAAAATTGATCATAGTACCTTTTCTTCTTCAGAAGGATGGAATTTGAAGTACTTGAGCAATTTTTTCAATCCAAATATTTGCAATACTGTTATTGCTATCCCTAATCCAAAGGCTGCAGAGGAGGATGACTTTTTATCTTGGGAAGACTGGAATCCATGTTCTTCTCTTGTGAAAATGGCTTATAATAGATTGATGGATTTCTCCAAACATAGGAAGAATGATACCTAGGGGAGAATCTGGAAATGGAGTGGGCAAGAAAGAATCAAACTTTTCATGTGGAAGCTGAATCATGGCCGCTTATTAACAAGAGATAGAATTGCAAAATGGGGGAACAATTCGGATAAATGCATCTTTTGCCCAGATAAAGTGGAGACATGTCTCCATGTGGTGAGAGATTACTCTAAAGCCAAGCTATTCTGGAATTTGCCCCTTGTTCAGCCCCTGCCAGCAGACTTTTTCAATGTTATGGAGCTGTCAGATTGGATGGTTTTAAATTTGAAACAGCACAAGTTTGGCTCATCTGACTGGAGAGATCCATTTTTTCTCATCTGTTACTATCTCTGGATCTGGAGAAATAAAGAGATATATGAGGAGATGTTTGCAAGACCGGTTGATCTTACTAAGTTCCTTATTAGCCTATTGGAGGAGAAAAACAACCTGTGTGCTTCAAATAATTCTAAAGTTCTGATTAATGGTTCACTGCCCAGGTTGCTGTACTGGTCTCGGCCTTTGGAAGGAGCCTCAAAACTCAATGTAGATGGAGCTGTAGTTGGTGAGAGATCAGCGTGTGGAGGTGTTTTGAGAGATTACAATGGATGCTGGGTTGGTGGCTATTCTTTCTTCCTGGGATCTTGCTCACCATTACATGCAAAACTTTGGCCAATCCTCCATGGTTTGGAGTTCTCTTGGGAGTTTGGTTGTAGGAATGTGATTGTTGATCTGACTCGTTACAAGCTATTAGCTTACTTACTAGTGATAGTAAGGATACTCGAAAGCTACCTTTGGTGGCTAAGATTCGAGTTTGTCTACAAAGAGAATGGAGAGTGGTTTTATCTCATATCTCTAGAACTATCAACAGGTGTGCTGACTGGATTGCAAAAAAGGCTGTTGATGATGAGTATGGGACTAAAGCTGTTATCCTCTCCTCATCCGGAACTGGTAGTTCTTCTGGAAGCTGACAAGTTGGATCCTGGCTAGTTTGCTTCTGTAGTCTACTGTCTGTTCTGTTTAGTTTCCTGTTGTTCCTTTAGTAGTTTTTCTTTTTCTTTTCTGGGGCCTTGCCCCTTTCATGTACCCAAAAAAAAAAAAAAATCACTGCTTTCTAGAATATGATTATAAATTTATATCCTTATTTTATAGCAAAATAGTTGTAATTATTTTTAGTTGTGATTACTTTTATAGAAATAAATAATGTTTGATAATATGATAATTTTGAGAACACTGAGATAGAATTTGATGCTTTATTTGATGGGAGAGGTTATATAATATATTTACTGTCTCTTTTTTTTACATCTTACTATCAAATTTTAACTGTTGATTTCCGTCAATCAAACGATTATAATTTATTAGGTCATACTTATTAATTAATTATTAATTTCTAATAAATTATAACCGTTAAATTGACGAAAATTCACAGTTAAAATTTGATAGTAAGAAAAAGATATAGTAACTATAATCTCCCCTTATTTTATACCTATTAATAATTGAAAAGTTTTAGTTAACATGTTGAGCACATTATTTTAATCAAAAACTAAATAGACATTTAAAAATATTTTTAATTTAAAATTAAACTACATATAATATCTAGATTCACGACAATTAACGAATAAAATTTAGTGTCAAAAGATCATATTCCTTGTAGAAACAGTGTCACAGTTATTTAATAAAATAGAGTTGTCAAAATTTATTTTTTTTAACCTATTAACTTAGTGCAATTTTGACGGGATTAATTCCCCTGATAAATGTTATAAGTTTGATAAAATTATATTATTTTTTTATGGGAAAACTTTATAAATTCCCCTGATATATTACTTTGGTATGTAGCATCGATACTAACACGTGACACGGTACGACACTCCGACACGTTAATTTTAAAAAATGTTAGATTT